TCTCATGGCTGGTATCCCTTAACAGCATCAGGTTTTACCTCTTGCATGTATGAGAGAAAGTGGCCTACACAGCTGGTCCAGAATTAATTATTCTCCTATAATTTATCAGTTCCAGAATAGCTTTCATTGTGTAGACATCCTATTCTGGAATACAGTGTGTTTTTATTCAAGGATAATGCCTGCATTTCCAGAGCAAAATAATTATTATGAATAGAGCCATTTTTATAGTGGAATAATGTACATGTGTAGTTTGGTCTTTATGGTCTTCAGTGAGGGCTGGTGGGAAGGGCTGGTGATTTTTCTCCTATACAGACAAGCCATTGATTGCCTCTGTGTGAGTCATGGGTAGTATCATAGTACTTACTGGCACCACATTACTTGAAATTATTCTTCTTTTACAAAGAGGAGTGTCTGTATGATCTCATGCTACAATTCTGATGATGCTGCAGGAAAGATGAATTTTAACATTTTTGCAGTTCTTCCACAGGTGCAGGATTGACTTTCTTGTTTGTTTCGAGAGTAAAAAAATACTGAAAAAGTTGCAATTTTAAATGCTTCTTGCTCCTCACAGCTTCAATTTCAGAATTACTGAGGGTTTATGGAAGACTTGGGTCCTGTTAAGTAGTTAGCTAAAGTAGAGGGAAGATTTAGATGTGGAATTTGGACTTATGCTCCAACAGGAGTTATTTGCCTTTCTGGTTACCATAATATGAACTTTAAGGATTTTCCACTACCACAGCTTAACATAGATGGCTTAGTTTTTAATGCTGACCCACCATTGCCACCACTACTTTCTAGTAGTATACTTGTTTTACTTATTAAAATCATAAAATCTAGGAAGTATAGCTTGGATGAAATCTTGAGTTAGATGAATGGCAGATTTTTATTGCACAGTGTAACCTACAGCTATGGCTTTGCATGTGCCTTAGTCCCTTGCTGTTCTTTGTGGCGTCAGTCCAGGGTCAAGTGAGATTAAAAACAAAAGCGATGGATAATTTTATGGTTAAATAAAAAATTATCAAGACAACAGAAAGGAAGCTTTGATGTCTGAGCTGGTCAGAGTAAGGACTAGGAAGGGGCATCTCCCTGGTGCACAGAATTGTATGGTTTGCTATGTGCATGGTTGCTTCTTCTCTCTGCCTTTCAGAAACATCAGAAGGGTGTTTCCTTTCTGCCAGCACTCTTAGAGTTTGCAGGGTGACCTGGGCTATGAGGCTAGTGCCCAACTGGAGAAAGAGATTTTGACATAAAATGGGAACAATGAAATTTTACAAGTTGATCTGTTTCTCTAGGGCTCTTGGTATTTGGCTAGTCCAAATGAGTGTTTTAAAAGGGGCAAAGCACCTGCTGAAAACCTATTACAAGGTAAAAGTTATTTTAGAAATTCAAGATAAATATCTGAAGTCATGTCCAACAATGTGTTATTTCCATACGTCTTCCCACAAGGTCCCCAGTGACACAGTAGTACGAGAAACAGACTGTGTTCAGCCTTTAAGATAGCACTGCCCTCTGGGTATGCTCATTTGGCCTCCATTTACTTTTCTTCAACTCTTACTCTCTTGTTACATAATTAGGACTAACCCACGTTCTGATCTAAAGTTCTGCCCTCTTTTGATCTTGCTGGAGTGCTTATTAAAGGAGCAGGTGATTTATTCGTTGCTTTGTTGCACACCAGAAAGCTGGAAATGTGTCCTGTTTCTGATTGTTACTGTAAGGAGATTGATGCTGTGGTGCTGACGTGCCGAATTAAAAGGGCGGGGTGTTTGCCTGCCATCTTATGAAGTATTTCTTTTTAGATGTTCCTACAACATCATAAAATGCTGCTAAATTCAGATATCATATTTTGTTGCAGGCTGGTTCTAGGACAAAGCCCAGCCCTGTTTACTGGTGTTTATGGCTTCCCATATAAGCTTTCAGACAAAATTTGTGTCTCATTTTGTTTGAGTTACAGCAGGCTGATATCCTAGTCCTCATACCAGTTCTCAGTAGAGGCACTGAATGTTGCCACTGTAGTAAAATGGAGGAAACGGAAAAACATACCTTTTAAACTTCCTGTAAATCACCTCTGCATAAGGAAGGGGGGGGGGGAGAAGTCCTGTAATGCAAACAGAAATGCATTTAGGCCTTGCCTTGGTTTTGCTTCCTCTTTAGGCTCAGGAACTATGACAGTGTTTAAATCTCCTCTTAAATCTGGTGTGTCTTGGGAGAAGGCAAATTTTAACTCTTCTCCCAGAAATCAGAGGGTACTCTTGCTACTGTGTGTCCTTTGCTTATCTGTATGGCTGCATAGTTTTTATGATAAATGCAACTCCTCAAAAGGATCGCTTTCAAATGTAGTTTGATTTATCTACAATTAATCCAGGAAGGTGCTTGTCTGGATTTGACTTCTCAGTGAAGAAACAACACTCTTCATCCCCTCGCTGCTTTGGCTTTCACAGGAGCAAAGGTCACTTTCAGTGACTGAGTTGTGCAATTGCACAACAGCATGGCAAGCCATGCTGTGTCAAGGTGCTCTATAAATAGCAGAGCAGTAACGGAGCTGCTAAAACATCCCTTGGTGACTTTAGTTCTAGAATTGGCATTGATCTTCTCCATTCTCCCTTCTCCTCCTGCTATGAGCAGGATGAGGTTTGACACTCAGTGTGCTTTCTGATCATTTTGTTATTCAGTGGTGGGATAAAAATGTTGGGGCTCCCACAGAGCAGCACAGGAAGCAGTAGTGGGGCATGGCCAGACGCCTGCAAAATGGTGGTCACCAGCTTCTGCTCTTTGCCTCCATGCCTGTTGTAGGTTGCTGTGTGTTCGTTGCCTTGCGTGGTGCTAACATGCAGTGGTGTCCATCTCTGCTACACAGCACCTACTACTTTCTGTTTTGTTTGTCTCATCCGTGCCTCCTGCCTTTTACACTCCTTGTAGCCCGGTTAGCCTCTTGCCTGGGGAGACTGCCTCTGTCTTCTTCCAGAATTGCTTATTACTGCTCACACCCTATGGCTTCTCATAGAGAACCGGGGTCTCTGATTTCTGCATGCTGCAGGGCATGCATCAGCTGCCCATTGTTCACATCTGAATGAAGAGATATGTGAAAAGGGAAGGGCTAAAGTCAGTTTTCTTCACTAGAAGATTGGTTGTCCTCTACATGAGATACGATACCACAGCAAGCTGGCCCAGATCAGTGCTCACGTGGGGAAGGGAGGAGAAAGTTTCTCATCATCTGAGTTTCTTCATTTCAGCTGGGTGCCCAGGTCTGTGGCTGTGTGCCGCTGTGGGAAGTTAACTGCCCTGGTGTGTTCTGAGGGATGGGCTGAAATGCTTATGCATGGGCATAAGAAATGAGAGGACACCCAAGAGCAGCGACTGCATGGCAGCTGCTCTGCAATTGCATTTGTTTGTGGAGCTGAGAGGAAACTCTGAGCTGATCCCCATGTGGAATCGTGAGAGAGAAGATTATTGATAGTGTTTCGTTCTAAGAATTCTTTTATGCTTTTGTGCATATTTACTCATTCCAACAAAGAATATTCCAATGGCTGCAGAAAAACCTTGACACAATTAAATATACAGCAAAAGTAAAGGCAAAAGTATTGTGATGAAATGAGAAGCATTCAAACAAGCATAGATAATATCAACCCACCGAAAATAAATGAGCAGAATTTCAACTGAGAGGAGTGGAACAAAGTCAAATGGATGAGATTTGCCCTAGAATCTGTCTTCAATAAGTGTAGGCTTTAAAAATACACAACCTGAAAAAATAGCTTAAATATTAGAGCTTTTATCTGAGCTAAATTGTGGCTGCAAGTATCTGAGTCATCTGGCTTGTAACAGGTGTAATTGTTTGTGGGGTTGTGTTGTGTATCTGCTCTCCCCAGTCCTGACAAACAGTAAAATCGCCACTAAGCTTCAGCGAGAGACAACAAGAGCTTTGACCTTAGGATCTGTCATTGTTCCTTTGTTATCTCAGTGCATTATGGAACTGCTTCATTTTAATTCATTTGGTTTCTGTTTATTTCTTCTGTGGCAGTCCCAGGAGCTTGAATTCACCGGCTTTTTGTCAGAATGTATGAATTGTTAATTTGAAAGACCCACCATTTCTTTCTGGTAGAATCGCAGCCCAGATTGAATATATCTCACTATTAATTAGAGATCAGCCTAAACCAAAGACATCTGTTTGATCCCTCCCTCCCTGTGGAATCTTTTCTTGCCTGGGAAAAATTGCTCAGCGCTGGCTGGAGGATTGACCATTGTGTTGTAGAGAAACTTTTGTGGTTTCCAAATGTGTTTCATTCTCTTCTGGAATTAAACCAAAAAATTCATCTAAGCGCCTGAGAACCTTCTGCATGTAAAGGATTTCTCTCCTTCTCTCAAGTTCACTCTCACCTGTAAATCAATCCCACTGAGACCTCTATCAAACCCCATATTTTTTTTCTGTAAAAAGTTTTGGTTTCAAGAACACAAAGCTTTTATCAGTTTGCTGCTAACTTCCAAACTGCTGACCTGACAAAAGTGGATTGGGAGTGATGCAGATTTGCAACCCCTCATTGCATTGTGTGTTAGTAATGTTAGACTAAAGAAAATGTTCTGGTTTACTGCCTAGTAATATTCAATATGCCAGTTTCTTATGTATATTGAAACATGGATGAGCAAAAGTTATAAGTCTGATCTGGCAATAAAAGAACAAAAAACAACCAGTAAAAAGTTTGGGAACTTAGATTGGGATCTGGCCAATCATTCTCCTCCTTGTTTTATCCAGTATTTGATTAATGGCTTTCAAGTAGATATTAGATTGGGGAAGGTGGAAAGGGAGCTTGTATAGCTGATTCAAAGGGATATTTTCAGTGTATGAGCTTTGAGCCAACATTATTCCACAGTACCTGTGTCAGATTGTTTTGTAATTGTGGCTAACAGTATTGATTTCTGGTAATACATTGCTTTTGAGAAAAAACTGAGGGGCATGCTAAGCAAACATTAGAGTTGTCTTTCTGTTTCCTTTTATCTTTGGCCTGCAGTGGTGGAGAGCCGAGGAGGGATCATGGACAGCATACAGAGGTTTTCAAACCTGCCAACGTATCTCCCCGCGAGCTATCACATCTGTAATGCTGATATTTTCTTCTTCCTCAAAGAAGCCAACCAGGATATCATGAGGAACTCCAGTTTGCAGTCTAGGGTGGATTCATTCTTTATATACAAAGCCAAACTGCCACCTGTCCTAAATGCCACGTATGGACCCTTTTCTGTTGAACAGGCCGTCCCCTTGGACCTTATGCTGACTTCTGCATCTTTTGGTTTCACAAATAAATTCACTTTTAATTGGAAATTAAAATCTCACATAATCGACAGCTCAATCTATTCAAACAAACCTAAAATACAAACCTTGTTCTATATTGCGGGGAAGGACTGGGATGACTATAATTCTGCGGAGATGTTGCCTTGCGTGAAGATGTTTGCTTTCCTGGAGTCTAGAGAAGTTGTGGCCAGCTGCAGATTGACAGGTCATCTAGGATTATGTGTTGCAGAGCTGGAATTATCTCCTAGCTGGTTCAGCTCCCCTCCACCCCTGGTTTCAGAGGAAACAGCCTCCCTGGAAGGGATTACTGTGGAGCTCTTCTATAAGATTTATACAGCAGATGGGGAATGTTCTCCAGAGGATGAAAAATGGGAAAACAATATCCATGCAGGTCAAGATAATGAACACAAGGCTTTGTCAGCTATGGAGAGGATTGGTAGCATCATTGTTTACCCAAATCAAGACAAATTAAAACAGTCTGCACTGAGGCTTGATGAAAATGTCGTTATTCGCTTACCACTCAACCCGGTCAGAGAAGGTGATGTTGTGACCTTTCATGTTTCCCTGGCTGATGACTCTCTAGCAGACCAGTTTGTCTTAAGGTAAGAAACTTTTTAAAGTGCTATATGTTGAACAGCCTACATATAGGGACAAATCAATGTCAGGTGTAATTTCATTGGTTACATTCAGTGTTTTCCTGAGAGAACTTAAGCATTTCCTCTCCAACTGGGGAAAGATATAAATAGTCTTGAATTATCTGTGTGGATGACACTTTTTGGAACATGGGAATTGATTTTAAAGTATGAGCTATAAATGTTTGTATGATTATTTTTTGTTTTAATTCTATTTCCTGCTAGTCATAATTCTGCCTCTTAAATTATGCCTCTCTAAGTCAGCCAGGGTAACTGCTGCAATCCATTTTGCTAGACAATTCGCAGGAGGGTTTTCCATTTCTTTGGTGAAGCTTCCTCTCTTTTTATCACTTTCTTATCATCATTCCAATGTACATGGGATACATCTTTCGCAGGTCACGTGTTGAACTATTTTGTTGCATTGTACAGAGGAGAGCTGAGAGGTGAGAAAATGAGACATGCCTCAACTTGTGTAGGAAGTCTTTGGCAGAGCCAGGATTTGGATCCAAACTTTGCATGTCATCTTTGTTTTTTCTGCAAGCCCATCCTGCTTCTTCAAGCTTTTGACTACTCATTGTGTGGCCCATTTTTGGTTTGAAACTGTCTGGTGGCCTTTACTTGTGAATCTGCTTGTAATAGGAGAATTCAGGCATTTCTAATCACCCTGAGGGTTAGTGCTGCATATTTGTTATGTCCTTAGCTGTCAGACTGTGGGTTCAGAGCTGCATAGAGACCAAAGTCAGAGAGAAATGTGAGCCAGACTGGGGGAATAAAAGGGCCAAAAGGTAATTGGAAAGTGTCATATGCTGTGAGAATGCGAGGTGCTTGGGGAAAGCAGTTGCAGCCCGTGCTAGCAAACCTCAAAACAGGTTCATGCCTTACTTCTAACTTTTTGATGTGAGAACGATGGGAGCAGGACATGACAGAAGTGCACTTTGGGGACAGATGTTGAGAAAACAGACAGCAAACCTTATGCAGCACTTTTAAATCGTTCAATGCTTGTGAAACAGCACATGCATATTAATAAACTTAGATTGATGTGTGAATCGGGAAAAGTGGTTCATAGTACAATGCACAGGCAGAGGGAAAGAAATGGTCCACAATATCCCAAGCACTTCCATCTACTCCAGGTCAGGGGGAAATGTGTGAGAAATATCACATGGTTTAACCAGACTTTGAAAGGTTTGGATCAGGAAGGACTTCATATAAACCAAACTTATTCTTGCCTTTATGTGTCTTTACTGCTTTTTCTTTGTTAAATATGGTTTTGGCCAGCGTCCACTGTCAGTAGATGGACCAACCTCATGGAGCAGTTAGGTTTTGGCAGTTGTGAATTGATCCTCAGTGCTATAGAAGAGAGATTATGGAATTTGCCTAAGGCTCTGCAAGGATTTAACCTCAGCTCTTAATTCTCAGTTTTTTATTCTTTTTGCCACACCACATAAAAAATTCCCTAGGTATTAGAGACAGCCTAAGATGAGAATGTTTTCTTTCTATTGGAATTTCTAAAATAACATTTACCTTGTAACAAATGATGTGAGGATAGAGTTTTGATGTTTCTGTTGGCCAGGAAAGCACCAAAAACTTATTGCAGAGATAGTTTTGAAATGCTGTCTTTCAAAAGCAAAATAGTTTCTGCAGGTGCTGAGCACAGTAACTAACCTGGGGTTTCAAGGAAGCAGAAACTGAGGGAGTCAGAGCCTCCAAACTGGGGAGCCCCAGGATAAGCCACAGAGCTTGGCTACTGCTGAGACCCTTGTCTTCTCCCACAGGCCCCCATTACTTCCATGTCTCCAGCCATCAGGAGGGAGTCACTTTGCAGCGCTCTCCTGACGTGCAGAGTGTGCACCCCGGTGCTCCCGAGCTGCTGGGAAGCCAGTCAGGTTTCCATGGGGATTTCCTCCTTTGAAAAGTGTGCAGAATCGGTTCATCTCCAGGAGTTGTTTCTGTTACAATAAATCAGCATGTTTTATGTGCCCAGAAATATTTCCTTGGAAAATTCACTATCGGCTCTATGTAGTCTAGCCTGTCTGGTCTTTTATTTGGCTTTGCTTGCATTGTGCTTTTTATCAGAGAAACTGCAAGTATTTTTGTTTAACCTTCAGTTGAATGCTGAAAGCAAGAGACAAAATGCAATTCTACTGATGGTTCACCCATTCTTCAGGATGGAGAGAGCATGAGCAACTGTTGCGGTGATTATTTCAAATGACATACGTGGGGCCCATGGAGAGATTATTCAGCTGAAGTTTACATAGTAGGCAGCGAATTATGCTGAGGGAAATACAGTCACTATAGCGCCTGCATCTAATTTATGCTGTTTCCCTCACAGGCTTTCCCTGTTTTTCAGCTCAATGTTAATGTCCATGAAAACCCAGAAGGTTTTTATAGACATAGAATTTCTGTGTGTTATAGCCAGAGAAAAATACAGTGAAGTGAATGTTTGCCTTGGGAAATACATTTTTACCTAATATAACTGATTGTTTTTAATCAAATCTATTAGAAGTGTAGCAGGGTGAATTGCAGTCTGGCTCTTATGAAACAATAGATCAAAATCAAGTCATTCTCAGCACAGCCTTTGATTCCAACCTTGAGCTCTGACAGTATGCAAAAGAACAGATATGCTCAATTTTATGTACCTCTTTACTATTTCATGCTGTATTGTGTAGTATATTATTTTATGTTGGATTTTGTTCTAGCAAAACTGACTTCAGTTCTCATACGAGAGCAGATTCTTCCTCGTTTTTGTAAAATTTGGGATTCTTAACCAAGCTTGGAAACTGAAAAGCAATTGGAAACAGTTTCTTGATTCAGCAATGTGCTGTGTTGAAAGATACTCACTTGTGAACCCCCCATCCTTCCAGTAATGCCGCTTACAGAGCCATGCTGCAGGTTATATGTGAAGCTCCAGCTGTCACTTGCAGTCCGTCTCATCAGTCCAAACTGGTTTTGCTCTCCTTAAGCTAAGTCTTGGTTGTTTGTTTTCATTCAATACCTGTAATTTAAGATGGAGTTGGAGCTCTAGTTGTGCTGTGGTCCAGGGAATGTGTTTCATATTGCAATCCAGCCAATGTGGTTTGGTGTAATTGAAGGACCCAGATATGTCAAGGGGCAGAATTTGGAGGCTAAGTGTGCATTTAATGCTTTTGCTGTGCCTGACAGTCATATTGCTCACTTTATTGACAGGTGATCTATACATGTGTGCAGTGAAATTCTTATGACACTGGAGATTAATTTGTGTCCTTGCCAGTCTGGTCTTATTGTAAAATTTACCATCTGTGAACATAAATTTAGCCCATTATGTTAGGTGGGTTGCCACTAAACATAGTTTAACCATAAAGATAGGTGAAATGGGCTATGTTGCCATGATTAAACTTTTTTATGGGGTACCTAGTTTAAAAAAAATTGGAAGAATGAAGCACAGCTTTGAGATTCCAGGAGGACTAATACATGCATCAATGTCACAAATTTTCAGGCACTTTGTCTTTTGATTCACAGAAGTATCTCTGTTACCTTCTTTACTGTCAAACTTAAATGAAACATAGTAAAGAAGGAAAGATGGAAATCATGACTGAAGAAGGGGTAACACCGACTTATGTGCTGCTTACTAAACAGAAGTAGTCTCCTTATATACGTGGAGGAGTTGTAAAAGAGACAGAAAACAATTCCTGCTTAATTGGAAGGATGGAAGTCTCATCCAATAACTCTAGGAATGGCTTGCATTTCTTTGTGGTGTATGTTAGTATTTAACTCCATCTTGAGACTCAAAGGATGTATGTAGAAGAAAAATGGGAGTCATTTTGTACAGCGGGAGAACTTTTAAAGGAATAAATGGACAATCGCCCCATGGTTATAGGAAAGAAACCAGGACACTCTCTTTATAAATAAATGGCAGAGTTTTGTCCCGTTTTCCAAGTCTCCCCATTTAAACCGTCAGCGAGGATGTGCTGGTAATGAAGGCTGAGCACTAATAGCAATTTGTTGAGTCACAGACAAAAAGTGGTTTTGTTGGCATTCGTTACACGTCTCTAACACGAATGACCCATCCTTCTTTTATGCCCAATCAGAATAGAAACAGAGATTGGAGATATTCCAGGAATAATAGTAAGGGGCTGAAACCAGGTAATGAATCCCATGCTAGAGAAATGAAAGCGGCTGCAGTTGGGATGCTGTCCTCTGTCTGGAGGGGCATGGTGGGACCGTGCAAAGAAACCTCACTGTCGTTCAGTGCCTAGGCAACCTCAAGGAAAAAGATTATCTGCTTCTCACTGCCATGCTCCACATATTGCAGGGCAAAGATTACTTTTTGATTTTTGGATGAACCAGTACAAGGTGTAATACACGCCAGTTGGCTTTTACTGATTATTCTCACTAGGAAAAATGATATAAAGGATTTATATTAATAAACATATATCCATATGGAGGAGGTTATGTCTCCTGCTAAGGAATAAAAATTGCACAGGCCATTAAAACTGACTTACAAGGCTTCTGCGTTAATAATGAAAGATCTGTAGAAGTCTGAGCAGTCGTCTAGAAGGCCAGAAAAAGATCATTAAGAGGATGGTTCCTGCCACTAGCTGCCAAGAGCAAACAAGGGAAAGAAAACAGAAGGTCTTAGATTTGGAAATGCATAGAAAATGAGAGCATACAGACTGTGTAGAATGCAGCCTGGCTGCATGTGAAGAGGAGGCTCTGCGTGGCCTTCATCACTTGTAACCAAGCTGGTATGAATGGGGAAGCAGGGCAGGATTATTACTGGCTAGAGAAATAAATGATTAACTGAAGCACCATTTTAGGATGAAAATTCAGCAGAAGTGAAAGTGTTGAGAAAGGGAAAAAAATAATTTCAGAGGTACATCAGGAATGCTAGTTCAGATTCAGAAATAATTACAGAATTAAAGCATTACTGGCAACTTGGGAATATTTGTTTTTTACCCAATGATTTTAATAAACCCAAAATGAATGTTTAAGTT